CCATCTCTGTGATCACTATTTTTCTCACGATTATTCTCCCCTGGGGTGAAAACACTGAGATCCAATTTCCTCACTGAGTCTTCTGCTGTGAATTCCCAACACTGATGAAATACGGAAAATAAAAATAATAATTTCTGGTTAATAATTTACCATGAAAAGTTGAATAAGATGAAATAATCGGCTGACGAAGGCTTTATTGCGAGGTCAAAACACCCTAATTTTATTTTTCAGATAATTCTCCGCCAATTTCCTGATATATAAAGTCCCATCAAACTTAAATTTCCTGAAGATTCGGAACCTTTTGGGTCCAACTTCACTCAGTCCGAGTTGAAGGCCCTTGTATTACATAAATTGGGGTTGAATTTTAAAACGACCTGCTCCAGAAAAATGCAAATGGTTTTCTTTATGCTCTCCACAAGGAATCGATCATCTTTTTGGATGCAGAACATGATCAATAATGCACAGTTATACTGCATATGGCCAAAATTTAATTTCTTTGATTATATCCTATACCCAGCAAGTAAAGCAAAATTCCCTAAACAAATAAACCAAACCAAACCAATTTTTTTTGTCCCTTCATAGGCACTAACAGATTCAATAAATGCTTGAAAGCACTCTGCAATAAAAATGAGTGACTATATAGTCACAATACTAAAAAAAGGAATTTCGTTATTCAAAATAAACTCCTTTCCATTAAAAAACATTTCATCATGCTGAATTCCCGAAACGTTGAAAATTTGATCCAAGAGCTAAAATTTCCTAATTTTCTTTAATCCATTTTCAATCAATCTGAAATAAATAAAAAAAAGTGATGGAAAGGACTATGTCATAAAAAATCTGTTCCAACTGGAAAAAATCATTATATTGAAAAGCTTACTGTAGAATTAACCTCCCCCCCTGCAAAACCATTTTATGAATTTTTGTGTGCCTCAAAGCATAGATTATTGAGGCCTTGCAAATTCGAAAAAAATTATCCCATAAAATTTCAAAGTTTGTCCTATACAAATTTTTCTTCAAATTTTCAATTTTTAATCACAGCAAAAGCTTTGAAACTTCCAGTACAAAAATTGGCATGCATTTCAAAGAGTTTAAAATTTCTCTGAATCTTGACGAGAGAAAGCCTATGTTTTTATCAGAAAATTTCAACTGCTGTTGTTCTCCTAAAATTTCAGGTAAAGATAATAGAATCTCATCCCTACTTTTGATACATAATATTATGCTGAAAATTTCCTGCAGACCAGCAAAAAACCTCTGCAGACTGGCACTGCTGGTCTGTGGACCATAGGTTGGGGTACTTGGGGAACACTGCCCTAAACAATTCCATCAGAGAAAAAATAATAATTCCAGGGACTATCTGGTGAAGAAAAATCTTTTATCCTGAGTATTGAATAAAAAAGAATTCATACATAGGAATAGTGTCTGTATCCGCAGCAGCAGTGATCCCAGGTCAGCAAAGTCGTCTGATGTTTGTCCAGGGCCAAGAAAGTTTCTGCTGCATCCTCCACCAACAACTCCGTGTACAAATTGCTGAAAAATCTCAGCGTGGCCGGCCTTGACCCAACAAAGTCTTCAAATCCTCTTGTCGGGGCATCATTCAATCTCACCACAGCCTGATGCTTATCTGCATGGAACCAGTTATAAT